TTCTTCTCCCCCTCCTTATAAACAGAGCAACTCCACAAATATTGGGAAATCCTCTTGCACATATTTTCCAAAATTTCAAAATGTTAAACTAAATGGAAGATTGTTACAATAATATATAAGACTGCAGACAGTATTTGGTGTAGCTATAAAAGAGGTAAGAGAACAAAATGATCAGCAAAAACTGATAATTTATTTAAAGAATGCATGGAATTGCCCACTTGGTATTTTTCAGACAAAGGTACTGCAATAGCAGTAATATTATACACTGATTCCCCCCCCCTTTTTACAGTTTTACTGAAAACTTACTGTTAGGAAAGCAGATAAATAGAAAAAAGGAAGGTTGATAGTGATACCTGCTTTCAGATTATAAATACATATATAATATATCCTTCCCACAGGACACTTACCCTTCAAAACCCTTTCTCTTTTGCATTTCCCCCTAATTAACATTGTTCAAGTAAATTGATCAAAGTACACATTAATTAGATAACACAAGATATTCCTAAACTGCTAAGACTGGTTTTCACAATTCTTTTCACAAATGCTCAAAACCTAACAGAAATAAATAATGCCTCTATTTGTTTCCTATTGACCTATACTTTTCTTAGCACAGAAGGTTTACAAATTGGGAGTCTTGATTTATTTTAACCCATAGTGGTTGCGACAATTCAAAAAGGATGTTTTCCTGAACTAATACAGACAAATTTTTTGCAGAGACAGGCTTATGTACTGGGCAGTCCCTAAACTCCATTACATCAAGCAAGCTGATAATAAGAGGGTTGCCAACATGAGTGTTTAGGAACCTTTAATCACAAACACAGAATTATCAGGAAGCCACTTATAACACACCTACATCTGGTAAGCTAGACAGGGCTGGAGCGCTTCTAAATATATAGAAGCTACTATTCAGGTGTGATTAAAAATGTCAGACTTTAAGGAGGGCACAAACTTTGAACGGCTTTTAGGGGGATTATAGAAGATATGATTAATGCAACATATGCCTTAGCCTAAAACAAAAGTCAACCAACGACTGCATAGGTAAGGTGAACGAGGAGGGGAGATGGAAATCCTCCTTTTATGCTTGTATGCTTCTGGAAGATCATAGCAAAACTTTAATGTATTGGCAAATACATTAAAGGAAAACAGTTTAATCCTAGAACAAATACAAGGCTAACCTACTCTGATATTAGTCTCTCCCTACATACATCGCTTCCAATGAAACTAGGAAAATTGATACTAACCAAGGATTAAGTCCAAGATTTCTACAATGCGCCTTGCCAATCGAAAAACAATTCACTTATGAATTGAAATTTCTACTGCGGTTAATGTAAATATTATCCCAGTAGTTCTTGTCCCATCAAGTAAACACTAGCTACCAAGTATGCTTTTCATTTTCATAGTATCTAATCCTTTCCAACTTTCCATAATGGACGATTATTGAAAAATTTGCTATCAGTTGCTAAATTGTGATTCTTACTAATTATAACCAAGCTATAACCCCAAGGAGAAGATGCACGCTATGGACATAGGACCACCATTCAAAACAAATTTATATTGCAGGTTTTGAAGGTTGCCTGGCATGCAGTGGCTAAGCATCCGCAGGGCTTCCCTCCAGGGATGGGTAGCAGCAGAATGCACCATGCAAGGAGGCTAGAATGGGAGTTCCCAAGCTGTGGTTTATGAGATGCTTTCACGTGGAATGTGGCACATGTTGGCATTAAATATTCCTATTGATTTAAAATTGTATTACTTCTTTTGCTTCTTAGATGGTATTTTATTGTGTTGCTATCTGAATTCAATATCAGGAATGAAAAGCAATAATAATACTATTAAAAATCATACAGCATTTTGCACAGCACATTACAATTGCTGCCACAGGCAGAAAAATCACTACGTGGTCTGCCAAGAGTCTCAGCAATTTTCAAGTGATAATGGGATAAACTGTTTGGGAACCAATGGGCTAGCACCACAATTAAGAACGTTTTACATCGGCCACATGGAATCATGTACACTTATGGATTTTACCTCTGCATTTCCCATGTCTTGTAAAAATCAGCCCTGTGTGCTCCACGGGGCATTTTAATTTTGTTTGGTACCAACTTGCTTTTGAAATTCAAAAGGGAGCATCAAAAGCAGTTTGTGATGAGACCAAAAAAGTCTGCTATGTACTGTAATGTGTAATCTCTACACTGCAACTGAAAAATCAAGTGTAGCATAATTTAAATTCTTTTATAGGAATGATTTCCTAAGAGCAATGCTAATTTAATAAGTTGTTATGGCAGAGACCATTAACATGCTCATCTGGAAGTATATTGTACTTCTGTTTAAATATTAGGGCTTGTGGCAAAGGATCAGTACTACTGCAGTACCTATCTTGTTTCATGCTTAGGCACATGCCTTGTGGACTGAAAAGACAACCCAAACACAGAATAATTGGAGAAGCAAACATTTGTTTAGCATTCAAACCAAGAAGGAAAAGGCACCAATTTTAAAGAAACTGAGATGATTACTAGCAGAAAAAGGAAAGAAGGTGGGTGGGCAGGCTGCGGGGAAAAAGAGATACAGAGCAGTAAGCACTGCTCAACTTGTAAAACCAATACTCAGTGACAGCGATTTACCACAGGTTGCTTTTCTTTTTTTAAAAAAGTAGCGAAAACGATGGAAAATAATCGACATGCTATTTAAACCTTCCAGTGCCAAGAAAATAAATTATGTTGATTTACAATGCTTACACTCACAGTTATCAGATATTTATATTCATATCAGATGGAATCACTTAGAGAGCAGTCTACCGACCACAAACTCTGTTCATTTCAAAGGGGCTTATGCTGGAGCCTTGTCCAAATTAGATGGATTGCACCTCTTAATCTGTAGCACCAGGGACTGAAATTAATACTTCTGCTATACGATACCAATTACATTTCCCTGTATGGATTTTTGTTGTTGTTTGCCTTGGTAATTACATGGTTGCATTTCAGTGCCAATTACATCAGACACTGTATATGACTTTGTTAAAAAAAAAAAACACAACAAGAGCAAAAGGCCTACTGTAAAAATCTACTGTAAACCTGTTAAGCAGCTATACATCTTCATTTATTTGTACTCTATTACAAGCAGATCTTTGATAAGTTTTCACTTTTGCGTGTTAGACTAAATATTGTTACGTTTGATTGACCACATCATATTGAGCTGGGTGGTAATAAAATTACTTCCTAGTCACATCAAAGATTAATAATGGGACATTTAGCCCAGTATTGGCTCATTGCAACTTGCTAGTAATCTATTCAAGTTAATGCACATTTGCACACGTAATACAATCTCTAGAGCAATATTGAAAGATTTACAACTATTAAAATTGATTGTGTTTACTCAGATGAATTTAGAAAAAAGCAACCTTTTTAATGTTCTTCTTGCAGGGAACTGAGCTATGTATTCAATGAAACTGAGCAGGTAATTCATTACTTTTTTTCAGTGAAAGTGTGATTTAGAAACTGTTATATAATCGTTTTAGGTAACATTTCTGTAGCATGCATTACTGTATTAAAACAGCTGATGCATCTTCCTAAATAACGCTTAATTTCTGAAATCCTGAAACAGTGGAATTTTGCTATTCATTCCAGTTAAATAAGATTTATACCATTATATATTCTGCACCATTCACTAAGTTGTCAAATTAATAAATATTCAATTGTTTGCCCTATATTAGTCTACTAAGGATAGTGTTTTAAGGGGGGGAAATGTTTCCAAAAGCAAATTTGTCTAAACGTACAAACAATAATTTTAAAAATATGAAAAAGTGTTGAAAATGGTATTTATTTTAATGAAAATTGGCATAGAAATATAATGAATCAAATCGACATCAGTATAAATTACTTTTCAACTATCACATGTAGATCATATTTGTCAAATAATTTCACAATCTTCTGCTACAGCATCAAGACTAAATTTATTTTTCTCTCTCACCTACAGCTGAATTCTCTTGAACAGGCAGTTTAGAACTGAGCTAATATCTCAATTGTACATAGGATTGCAACCTACTAATAAATCGGTAATCCCCATTGAACTCTTAAGACTTACTTATGAGTAAGCACACATAGGATTGTAGGTCACATACAGCCCAATCTTGCACATATATATTCAAAAGGATGTCCCACTATGTTAAATGGAACTAACTTTCAAGGAAGTGTGACAGGACTGCAGCCTCAGCTTATTAAAGTCAACTACTGTATGATAAAGACTTGATAGATAATATTATCCATGTGATTCAGCTCAATAAATGTGTCCACTTGTTGGCAGCTACAGCCATGTAAAGGCAAAATTAAATGAATGAAACTTAACTGCAGCTGAACAAAATGTAACAGATATTCTTTACAGTATATACTGACAATAAACAATGTAATTTGTTATGATTTGCCACACTAGGACACAAAGGAGCTACTAAAGAACCTTTCTAGACACTTTATTTTTGGCTACAGTCCTATGCACTGACAGACAATAGCAGCTTAACTACGCACAAGCCTGCAGCCATTGAATAATCCATTAGAAACAACTATGTTAAGTACTCTCGTATTAAAATATATTAAGTATGATTTATTGGTCCCTGATGAACAGCTCTAGAGCTTTCAGTAGTTCTGATACTGAAGACAGTGAGCATGTAAGTTTCCACCACAACGAAAAGTTTATTTCACTTCAACTCCTAGGTGTCAAGATGGACACTTTAATTAAGATACCAATAATCAATATGTGTTCCTTTTCATTCCATTTGTCAGTTATGTACTTCTTTTAAAAAATGGAAAAGGGTAGCACTCTTAGACTTTGTTAAAATGTGTATAAATAAAGGAAATGACATCTTTGCTAAATACATTGTAGCTAATTTGTTCTTATGAAATGCATCTTCTTGTTCAGGAGATCAGCTAAACAAACAGAGAAAGTTAACAGTGATAGTAAGTAACCACATGACATGGCCTTGATTTTTAATCTTTGGCTAAAACATGTCTTACCTTTTCCAAGTCTTCTTTTTAGTGCTTTCAAGCAAATGATCTAAGGGGAAAAGCAAACAGAATCCTCATAGAACAGAATATAATTTTCACTCAGCCACTTTCTTTTGCAATCCGTCCCCCCCTGCCCCCACTTCACATTTCAAACCAGTTAATTCTCTACTGTTTGAACAATACAAACAGGATGTTTCCTGTTGACATATTATTTTTACTGGTCAACAGTAAAGTCTTCCATTTCCTAAATAGCACGGCCACTAATTTTATCTGCCATAATCTTGCAAGGAGAGCAAACAAAAATGGGAAAAGCCAGAGAAGTCTCAAATTCATTTATAAATTCCCAATAAAGGTTAATAGTTAAACTCCTTGTCTCTCCCACATGCTCCACCCTCCTGCACGAATGGATGGTGCCTTGAAGGAATTAAATGTTTTTGTTCTCTTTTTACCAGAAGCCAGACGAAAGTGTCACCATCTCCACTTTTATTTACGGGTTGAGCAACAGCGGTTCCTCAAAAATCACACGTTAATCCTAGAGGGATTGACTGCCCTAAACTAACAGATCTGATATGTGAAATACATTTGAATCAATCTTTCTCTTTTCTTTTTAACAAAAGGAATCCTTCCCTGCTCCCCACCGCCAGTATAAAACATCCCACCTGCTCCAAAATGCAGTAGGATTTCAAGAAAGGAATTAAAGATCTTCCCGGTGTTTTCTTCTTCAGGTGAATTCTTTGGACGCCTCCCCCCTTCGGTCTGGAGCTTTAAACCTGAAAAACAAACACCTCTATTGAATTCAAAGTAAGCTTTGGTGGGGTCTGAGTTAATTCTCTATCAGACAGCAAGTCTCAGTGTCTGGTTACACAAGCACACCTTCACTCAGGTTGGAGAGAGGTTCCTTAGAAACCAAAAAATCAGAAAGGACAAAGATGAGGGAAGGAAAGAGGTACTTCCATAACCCTGGACAGGTTTAGTACTGATTTTACGCAAAGACATACTGGGGGGAGGGTTTTGTGGGTTTCTTTTGGAAAATGTTTAAAAACAAAAAACCAAACCCCACCCCCAGCCTGATGATCCAAAAACGTGAAAATATAAAGGAAGGCTGTGATCTTAAGCGTGCACCATTGGAAGCAAGTTTCTTATTCACAGGTAAATTAAGTAAAAGGCACACGTGCGCAGAAAGTATTTAAGTTCACAATTCTTGCAGCCCGTCCGTAAAACTCGAAGCTTTGCCCGACGAGGCGGTCTTGTGGAGCGCGGTCTGCTCGGGAGTGAACCTGATGGAATTCCCAGGCACGTGCGAACAGGAAGTCTAATAAACACGCATCTTCCACCCAGAGCCCCATGCCTTTCCTCCCCACTCCGTTCCCGATTAACTTCTTCAGGATCAGTCGCGCTGGACAACCTCCCCCACCCCCGACCCCCCACCCCGCAATGCCAGCATCATCATGCATCCACACGAGCAGCCACCGGGGCGACTTACCCGACTCTTCCCACTAGGCTGTGTCCCAAGCGCAGGAAGCCCCGGCCCCATCTCCCTAGCAGGCAAACGCAGCATCGCGCACAAAGCGCGCCAAGACGCCGGCAGCCGCTGCTCTCCCACAGCCCGCCGCGCTCGCAGACGGGGACCGGGGCGCGCGAGGAGAGAGGCGGAGGGTGGGCGCGCGCGCGCGGGCCGGGAAGGGCGAAGCTGCGGAGGAGCAGGAGGTGGGCACCGTGCTGCCCCAACGCTTCCCTCCTGGGCTACTGAGGGTTATAGAGAGGCTCTGTTATAGCTCGGCTGGAAGAAGCCCCAGTCAGACTTGTGTGGAGAACATGAGGCGTCCTCCTTCTAACTCCTCAGAGGAAGGGGCAGCTTCCCTCCGAGCGGCGGCTCCCTCTCATGCCTTCTGCTTCCCGAGTTGACGAGGCGGTTTTCTCGCTCGCTCGCTCGTACACACAAGACCCCCCCTCCGCCGCCCCCGTGTGCTCGCGTGCGTGAGAGGACCCCTGCGAGCGTCAGCCTCGTGGGTGGCTGGGTGGGTGCGTGGCGAAGAGAAGAGCGAGGCGACGCACACAAGCGGGGCACTTCAAAGCCGCCTTTTGGTGCGCGCGGGGGGTGTGGGAAAGAGGGGCAGAGGCGCAGCTGCGAGCCTTGGCGGACGAGCTCGCGCAGCACAAGCCACGCGCCCAGCTAGCTAGCTATTCGCCCCGGCAGCTTAACATTGACAGTGTGGGGGGTGTGTGGGGGGGTGTTGTTGTTGTTGGGTTTTTTTCTTCGCCTTTTAGTTTAAAAACACTCCCCACATTCCTTCCCCAAACCCCCTCTGATTGGGCAGTTTCCCGTCTGTCACGTGCCACTCTCTTCAACCCCCCCCCCCGCTTTCCTGTTTAGGGGAAGCGGGGGGGGGGGAGAGCTACTTGATTCATTCACTTTCACTTTGGTTCGTCAGGCTTGATCCTGAGGGAATTCAGACAGGGGGAAGGGGGAGGGGAGGGGGCGTGGGTTGGTTTCCTTCGCTGGGGAAATGACACTGCAGGTTTTTTTTTTCCTTGGGAAAGAAACGGGCGTGGGGAAGATCTTCGTTTACATAATAAGCCTCAATGCTATCTGTGGTACGTCGAGGTGAGCTCTGGTTGCCAAGGCTGTTGAGGAGCGAACTCTTCATTCAGGCCTGAGACATTTGTGACCAGCTCGCCTTGTATTTGGGGAACTACTTAACCCCCGCGGGGCACGCAGCGGCTTTCCTCACGAGGTGCCCCAACCCCTTGTCCTGGTCGACTGACAAACATGGCTGGGGGTGTGGGTCAGAAATAGTTTAGGCCTTCTCCCATATCTCTGTATCTCCCCTCGTTTTCCTCGTGGGTTTTTACAAGCTAAGGTGTATATAGCCCTAGCCCTGCCTAATCTGGGAAACGTTTCAGACTTTGCAGGGACTTCCACCTTAAAGAAGTGTACCTGTGTGAAGCAGGATAGTACATATATTCCACAATGCCTCTGAATTTTCTACTTAGGCTCCTTGAGTCAGCCAGCGTGATTGCATGTGTACATTTTTACATAGTGTCAATATGTGAGGCTGAATGTTCTGTATTCCAAATGCAGACAGAAAAAGAAAATTTAAAAACCCAGGCTCAGTGCCTGGTAGACAGTAATGGTAAATGCTGGGGGGACGGACATGGTAGTAGTGGGAAGTTTAATTAATGCATTTAATAAGACCATAAAAAAAAATTCCTTCCAGTAGCACCTTAGACGCCAACTAAGTTGGTTATTGGTATGAGCTTTTGTGTGCATGCACACTTCAGATAGGAATAAGGCTTCCTTTCCCTTTGGAGAGTAATTTATCAAACAATATGCCCTAAAGGTGTGATAAACATAATTTAGAAGCTGAAGTGCCTTGCTGGATTGCATGAGATACGCTTAAAAAATCACAGAGAATGCAAGGGTGCTACCTTATATACCTAATGAAATCATTGCTCCATCTAAGTTGTTTTACAAACTGCTAACTTTTTCAAAAGATTACCGCATTTTATTTTATTTTTGAAAAAGACCCAATTTTAAAGGGTTTCAACAGCATAGTTCCAAACAACATGACTTGCACTTCAGAAATGAAAGCCAGTGTATTATTGTATTTTAATATTTTGTTGGAAGCCGCCCAGAGTGGCTGGGAAAACCAACAATATTATTATATTGAATAGATCCCACAACACTATAGTGACTTCTGGGCACAGCTCAAAGAGCCGATTTTGATCTACACGGCTTCAGCCCAAGTTATCTGGAAGACTGCATTTTCCAGTAAGTGCTTGCCTGTATTTTAAGATCCTTCTGTCTGCTCTGCCAACATCTGAAGTACATTTGGTCTTCTCTGTGGCTAGACTTTGAAGACTAGCACCGTCTCTGAAGACTTTTCAATGGCAGCCATCAAATTTAGACAGGCCTTTGTCCTGAAAGCCAAACTGTACATAAGGCCAATATCATGGTCCCCATGTTACAGATAGGGAGCTGGGGCTGGCCTAAGGCCTCCCTGCAAGATTCTGGCTGAAGAATGAATTGGATGATGCCAAGGTTCATTTGTTCAATGAGAACGGGTACGATTACATGAGTATGAGTTGCTTCAATAAGCCTTAGCCTTCTGTCAAAATAGCATTGGTCAGGCATGGCACCTCTCACGATTCTGGTTTTAACGCGACTGCATGCAGCAACATACATTCCCCAGGGATCTCATAATAAAAACAGCAGTTATAGTCAGAAGGAGCCTGCGTCATCTCTTGCTAAGCATGGCTTATGGATGTTGCAAAACAGCATGGAGATGACACATAAGAAAGTGTGGCTCATTTCCCCTCTCCTTACTTTTTAAAGCGACACTAGGCAATCATAATGCCAGTTAATAAGACATCTCTGAGGTTCCACAAACATTACATAAAAGAGTAGTGTACAACACACAAAGGCAGTAAAAAGCCTTGGCTCTCAACAAGGATAGGATTTTAAAATTGCCCGTTTCTGCGATAGCTGCCAGCAATAGCGCTTCTGGTAACATGTTAAAAGGGGAGAGAGAGAAAAGCCAACATATGTTTTGTAATGCTTTATTATAGAATAATTTTTCTGGCCAATCTGAAGTCAGGAATGCTGAGGCTTGATAGACTTAAATTATATCCTGTAGTTATTGAAACTGCAGTTAAAAAGTCCTACCCATAAATGTTTTTAATTTCTTTTTGATTCTATAGTACTCCAACAATCTCCTGTGGCAGGGAGTGCCACACAATAATTATGTCTTGCATGAACAAGAATTTCCTTTAAACTGTTAATTTGACCATTAACCTGAGCATTCTCAAATGTCCTTTTGTTATATAAAAGTACACCCTTAAATACAAGTGCCCAGTAGGCCAGCTTTATGGTGTTTGCTGAGCCATTGCACCTTTCCCTATTTTTCTCATGTCTAAATGTAAAGGGCATGATCCAGGCAAAGTTAAACTCTTCTAGGTTTCACTCATTTCAATGGTAGAAATGCACGCATGTGATTTATTTCTTTATTAAATGTATACACTCCTTTCACTGAGAACACTTCCCAGTGGTTTACTGCAATTACTTATTTATCAGAATAATTTATATTCCACTCACCCACTTAACAAAGTAGTGCCCCAGGCTGTTTCACGATGTTCAAAAAAGTCAAGCAAAACCAAAACCAAAGAAATGGCTTGATTATTAACTAAAAAGAAGCAGATTAAACTGTAAAGGTTAGGGAAAAGTCTAGCAGTGAAAGTTAAGACCAGTGTCAAACACACCTCCATGTGTGGAGGTTCACAACTCAAAGGACAGTTTCACGTAACCCAACTGAACTAGCATTTGCTCATATCGGGATAAAAGGAAGGGCCTCTCGATCAGACCCTTAAGGCATGGGCAGAATCATTTGGGAGAAGGCAGTCCTATAGGTACCCTATTAAGGAGATCCTTTAAAAATTTAAAATAAAATCTTAAAACAGCAGACAAAAACAACAAGAGTGAAACAACAGATTTTCAGATTTAGCCCATCCCATCTCAGGGTTTCCGCACCTGGTGCCAAAAATATCAGGTATGGCCAGATATTACCAGGTATGAATGCCAGTTTGTATTAAGTGTTTATACACTGCTATCTGAAATATTTTTCAGGCCAAGGCATAGATTATGATTGAGTAGATGATGGAATCTTAGATCTGCATAAGCCAGGACAACTCAAAACAAGTGATGATGTTCCTTATTGATTTCAGCCAAAAACAGGCCATTACATTGTGCAGACCAGCAGTGCTGTAAATTCTGAAGTGCAGGCATTTTTCATGGCAGCCCCCACAGCTGTGCTCCTTCTAAGACAATACAACAAAAATGGATATATTTTTCTAACCAATCCAGACTTTATGGTTTCAGTACTATGCCAGATTCTACCCCCCTCTCCAGAAACCCTCTCCTCCCCGCTGCCCCTTGCTTAATATCCAGCCTGATGAAGAGTTCTAGTGACTCAAAAGCTTGCTTCCTATTTTCTGACTTTTGGGTTGGTCATAATAAAGGGACTTTAGAATGTTTCAAAATAAAAGTGGCATGTTAACCCTGCCTCTCTCTCTGCTTAGCTTATCTGGTGAGAAGGGTTTAGTTTGCATGCGAAAGATTGGCAAAAAAATGCCCTAGGAGATGATAGCATTGTCCCTGCTTTGAAATTAGTGGTGGTTCTTCATACTTGCTCCTCCCTGCTCCAGTGCTCCACTGCACCACTGCTTACTTACACAGGATTTCTCTGCATGTGTCTTTTAGGAAGAGTGTGTAATGCAGGGATTACATCAAAGAAAGCCTGTAGCTTTTGTGGTGCACACACACGGTTGGTGGAAGGAAGGCTATTCAGTTCACAGCTTGTTACATTGGTTCTGGATGTGCAGAATGGAAGTAAATCCCTTATTTTCCAAAACCTGCCAAACTTCAAGTGCTGGGTGTTTGGCATCATGTGAAGAGTTTGGGGGGTGGTTTAATATATTTTAGGGCTCTAGCACTGGAGAAAGAAGGGCTAGGTTTTTTAAAAAAACTATTCACACTGGATTATTATACATAGGATATTCTTTTAAAAGTCTCGGTGGGAGCTCTCCATATGGTAAAAGTTAAAAGTGTTTCTTTCTACAAAATATAATGAGGAGTGACTTTCAGGAGAACTGACACCTGGTTATAACAATAGAGAACCTTGGCTTACATTATTTGATAACGTAGTATATGAAGCTGTCTAGGCATGTTCTGTAATGCCTGAGACAGGAAAAAACAGAACACAACCCCTTATGTTTGCCCCAAAAACTCCAGTACTGATAGGAACAGGATTTTTCTAGGCTTTTTTCCTAGAAAATAATAATAAAAATTTTATTTATTTAGACCACTTAATTAAAAAAAATCTCTTAGCAATGCACGTAAAAACAATATAAAAGAAATAAAAACAAGTTTTAAAAATAATTAAACCTAACTAGATTATATATCCAAATAGTCTTGCCGAAACAATAGGGGGTTAGCAGGTGTCTGAAACAGTCCAACGGCAATGCCTGCCTAATGTTAATAGGCAGGGAGGTCCAAGATACAGGTGCTGTCACACTGAAAGTTTGACTCCTCTCAGATGTGGTGAGCACATCATTTTATACTTTTCAGAATGCTTTATAGCTCTAACTTTTACAGTTGACTTTGTGTGTGTGTGTGTGTGTGTGTGTGTTGTGTAGTAGTTAGGAAAG